TCGTTCTAAAGTCTATTCTCTAGTAGTGAAAGGTGCGTCCTGACATACCACGAGGCCGGCACCCTTTAGTCCCTATTGGTAATACGAACCGGGACTAAATGTTTTTTTTCTTTTCATTTTTTTGTTTTCTTTTCAAAATAGGTTTTCGAAGTCGTATTGTACGCTGCTAATAATACATTTATACGCGCGTATAGTATGTTTCGGTTCAAGCACAATGAACGTATTAAATGACACAATTCAAGCATAGAACTATATATATATATATGCATATGTGTATTTTACATTATATTATTTCATGTGCATATATTACAAAAGATTGCATTACAGTTGTTGTGATATAACAAGTTTTCTCTCATCCTCTAGCTTGGCTTTCATGGCAGTGTTGGGTCGAAGTAGGACTCGCCCTTGAAATCGATGACCTGGTCATTAAAAAATCCGGCTATAGACTCTTGAATTGCTTTGATTTGGTCTTGCCGTATGACTTTTTCCTCCAACCATCAAGCCTACAGGTTTGAATTAAAGGAAAATAAATTAATAAATGTACATACATACATATATATATATAAAGACATAGTAACACAATCAATAATAATAATTAAATGAATATATAGTGTATTTTTAACGTACTTTGAGTCTCTCTGTAGGAGTTCTTTGGGAGACCTCCTTGATAAACGTGCAAACATAGTAACCACAGTAGTTGTTCTCATGTTCCTGCCTCAGACACCACTTTACGAGAAAAAGAATTGTCATCCAATCTGGTGATCCGGTGAAAGCTATATATTTAATTAATAAAGATGATGCGATTTAAGGGACTTCTTCCACATGGGTGCGTGACCGTTAGCGTCGTTCAGAACAGGTTAGCTGCCATGTCCTTTTCAAAAGACGACTTTCACATCATTGACCATATCGAGTACATCCTCACCGGTTCGGCTGCGAGGCTTGGTCAGGTGGTCTGCCTTCTCTTTAAAATGCTTGCCTTTCTTTCTTACGGGGTGATTTGCAGGAAGAAATCGACGATGGCCAAGGTACACGACCTTTCGACATTTTTTCAAGAATACACCTCTAATATCACCGAAGCAGTGTGTGCATACATTATATCCCTTGTTTGATTGTCCTGAAAGATTACTTAGAGTAGGTCAATCATTGATTGTTATGAACAACAATACTCGCAGATCAAAGTGTTCCTGTTTGTACTCATCCCACACACGTACACCTTCTTTATTCCACAAAATGAGAAGTTCGTCAATAAGTGGTCTCAGGTACACATCGATGTCATTGCCAGGTTGCTTCGGGCCTTGGATGAGCATATGCATCATAATGAACTTCCGCTTCATGCATAACCAAGGAGAAAGGTTGTAGATACTTAGAGTAACAGGCCAAGTGCTATGACTACTATTCTGCTCTACAAAAGGATTGATACCATCTGTATTTAAAGCAAACCTTGGTTATGATGTAGTATCTCCCATTGCAGTATCATTGAAGCACGCACCATCGGGAATAATATCATTGTCGTCCCATTGTTCTTCTTCACCTTCTTCCATTACAACGCCGGTTTCTCCGTGCTTCGTCCAACAAATATAGTTTGGCATGAAACCTGACTTGAACAAGTGTGAATGAAGAGTCCTTGAGCAAGGATATTCCACCGTATTCTTACATATGGCACATGGGCAGCACATGAAACCGTCGCGTTTGTTTGCCTCGGCAGCACGTAACAAAGAATGCACGCCGTCAATGAACTCTTGGGAGCGGCGATCAGCATTGTACATCCAATGCCGGCTCATCTGCATTACATGACATAAATACCATATTAAAACCTAGATCATAATTAATTATTTATACAACATGCGTGCCACCACAAAAGGTACAAATTTATGAAAGCATCGCTACAATGTAGATAATCTCAACTACCACTAAAAGAACTAAAGCTAAAATACATTTCAGGAGCACAAGGATTTCGCGACCAATCTCAACTGCTGAAATTTGAACTGAAGCTCTCGGGCGGGCTCGGAGAGGAAGAAGACGGCCAGCAGGATTTATAGGGGGGACCTTTAGTCCTGGTTGGTGGATCCAACCGGGACTAAATGTCACTTTCCAGTCCCGGGCCACGCCACTAGACGGGACAAGAGCTTTACTCCCGGTTGGAGCCACCAACCGGGAGTAAAGGTCGACCTTTAGTCCCGGTTGGTGGCTCCAACCGGGACTAAAGGTCTCTCTAGTCCCGGGCGCAATATTTCCCGGGACTAAAGCCTGGTTTAGCCCTTGGATCAAATGTCTGTTCTCTACTAGTGGCACAATGCACATGGCGGCCCCCGCCCCCGGCATAACACCGGTTCACCCGTTAATTACAACAACCCTATAGTTAACTGATACGGACGTACTATTACTAATACCACTACGGTCCCGTTTGGCTGGCAGAATCTTGGCTGAAACTGGCTGGTTGTTGTGAGAGAGAAACACTGTAGCGGCTGAAACTGGCTGAATCTCCAGAGGAGAACCAGCCGGCTGATTCGCTGGAACCAGACCAGCGAACAAGGCCTACATCTGTTGTGTTAGAAATCAGACCCACAACGACAAGTTGTCTGTTAATCTCCACGTGTGGAAACATCGATTTTAGATCTAACAAAATGAATATGCACAGACGACACAAAGAGGCACAATATTTGTTAACGAGATTCAACCGAAGCCTACGACATCCCCGGGACATGACTACGACGGGTGCTTCTCGCCAATACCAGCAAAACCGCCCGTTTTAGGTCCCGGCAACGTGTCGCCGCCCTCTTGTGAATATGTCGTTGTGCCGTCATGGTTACAACATCAGTCCTCCTATCATATTTACGAGGAGACTAGGTTACAGAGTCCGACTCCAACTCTATCCTATATTATCAAATACAACTCGAAATTCTAGCACTACCAAACTCGTACATAATAATATTCGGTATATATCTAACATGCATGCTGATTTGCATCGCTAACTAGTAGGATGTGCTTGTATATTAAATAATCTCTCAGTCTGTGATAGCTTAATTATATCTGAGCGTCTGGTCAAGCTGAAGTACGACGTTCACAGTCCTGCGCATGCATTCGCATCTACAAGCAAGATTTGATAGATGTTGCTGATCGATGCATGTACATATAATCAAGCACATGGCCCGCTTTGCCCTGGTGGTAAAGGACGCGTTCGTAAACGCACGGGGCCACGAGGTGACAACACGCACGGGGCCGGTCGGCCTGCGTGCATGCTCGGTGCTTGCTCGCACGCACACTCGACGGGACGGACGGACACAGGTACACAAGGTGAGATGGATGGAGTTGATGCGATGGTTCAAGCATGCATGTACGGGCCGATTCGATCGGCGCAATGGCGCATGCATGCATATGGGATATCCATCGATGCCAACGCGGCAGCCGAGGAGGATTCTACGCTCGCAGCAGCCAGCAGGACGCAAAACGATACTCAGACCTCCGGCGTCGAGCAGTGCCACGCTGAGGTCTGCAGCTCGGCGTGAAGTAACGCAGCGCCGAGGTACGCGGAGCCCAACGCCTTCATGGCAACTACGACTGGAGTCCGCGCTGACGTGGCAAAAGTTCGGCGTTGTCTGACACAGCGCCGAGCCTCATACTTTGGCGTCGTGTCCTAATACGCCGAAAAATGGTCTATTGTCAGAAAACGTTTCGACAGAAAGCTATTTGTAAAAAATGTTTTTAAAAAGGACCAAAATGCAAAAATTTCACTCATTTAAAGAGTCATCCGTATAAAATTCACTTTCTATATTTTTTCGCTCTCCAATAGTTTTTCTATATCTTGTGTGGACTCTAGAAAGTCATTCTCGTCTCTACTTGTATCCATCAACTAAGTAGCAAAATTCTATTCATGTATGTTGAATTTAAATATATGCACTTTAAGTTGAATTGAGTAAATATCTGACTAGAAATGCGAATGTGAGACATTCATTTTGCATTCGTATTTGAAAATATTCGTATATGTATTTGAATTCAAATTCAAATGTGGTAAAAGGTGATATCCGAATCCGATTTCATGCGAATTCGATCCGTTTCCATCCTTACCTGCCGCTACCTCCCACCACTGCGTGTGGCCAGCGGTGGCGCGCCGCCTCGCCTCACCGCATGCCATCTGCCGCCGCCCGCCAATCCCGCCCTCCATTAATCCGCCGTCTCTGTCAACTGGAGCCTTCACAGCCCCTGCTCTGCCCAAACCGCCCACCCACAGTCAGGCCAGCCTGCTGTTAGGGGATCTAAAGTCACGGGGAGGCAGCAAACCCTAACCCCACATCTGATGAAGGCGACCATGGGCGGTGCAGGGTGGTGTGGCCACGCGAGTGTGCAACCGTCGTGCATTAGAGTTTGCGTTTTAAGAAAGTTTAGTTCCACGGCTTGTTTCCCATCTTGTGGAGTATCACTTTCATACAATGGTTCACTACTCGAGCAATTAGTAGCCATTTGTTGGAATATTATAATTTACTTTTTGCTTGATCAAGTATACACTTTTGCGCTCTCAGTTGTTCACGGGTTCTCACTTGTTTTTTCTTCCGCGGTGTTTGAGAAAGTCTTAATTGTTCCGAGGGTCATCATGTTACAAGTTGTCTTGTGTGATCTTGACGATTACAAGAGAGATGTATTGGTCGAAATTAGGATACAGGTTAAGTTGTTCTCAGCAGAGAATTTTATCGGCCTCCCATTCAAACCCTCTCTGATAGCCCGTTCAATCCTTCAAAATATTAAATACATATATGACGAATGGCAACTTACAAGCAACCTACCTAGTGTTTACAGAACGTGTAACTAGACTAGAAAGAACTAACATTCAGATTACCAAGATACAGCCACAGTAAGGTTGTCGAGAACACTGTAGCGCATGCAAATGGACTCCATTCCACGTATAGGAACGATGAGATACACACAAAAGAAACCAAACAAGGGACACAATACAGCAAGAGAGGATGAACCGAGAAGTATACTTGACTGATGGCACGATGTGACTGTTAATAAGTAGCAGCAGGCGGGCTGCTGGTGCCGTCACTAGGCAAGTCATCATCGGTACCAGCGCTTGCGGCATCGGTGGGCCTGCTGACTATCCGGGCATGGTTGAGCAATGCCCAGAGGAGCGTTATCAGCTCGCCACCGCGAGCTATGGCCTCCGAGTGCCCTTTCAGATTGTCAGACGGAGCGACGTACAAGATCATCTCTGACCAAAAGCCAGCCAGCAGCTCCCATGCCGTCTGCTCATCATCGATTGCCTCCACCACCTGTTGTGCAAGCTTCACGCCATTCTTGACCACTTCATGATTTGAGTTGGAACTCAAGAGTTCGACTAGCTGGTGATACTCATACTCCGACACCGATGACCCGGTTGCAGAATGCTTAGTGAGGGCATGCTCTGCATCCTTCTTGATAGCCTCGTACATGCTCTTGCTCCATGCAACATCGTCAGGGAGCAACTCAGGGCACCATGTCACAAGGTATGTGCAGTACCGTGATATATGAGTGGCAGCAATCTTATGGTCTGAAATAGGTGAACTTTGCTGCTGGTCATGTTTGCATGGGTTCCTCACCTCAAGGATGCTTGTGGCGATGTGCCATGTAAGTATAACATTGGAGGCACTATTGCTGTTGCAGGCCCATAGGAAAGTTTCACCAACTTCACTCCAACGCCGGAGAGATACTTTTCCATTGCTCAGTTGTCCATTTCTACTCCTTCTTAGTGCATCAACTATAGAAGCCTTCACAGCTGATGGTACCTTAATCTTCGTCTTCTGATCTGGCAGATGGAGGAGACGCCTGAGACGTACGAGCACTGTAGTTCTTGGGGAAAGAACAAGCAAAGAGCATTGACCCATTTTTCCACTCCAGTGCTTCATCAGGTTGCATCTGCATCGGAACAAACGGGCAAACCATTGCTGCATGCAAAGAGAACGCTGCAGAGAGGCACTGTTTAGAAGACGGCAAACGAGGACTACTTTGGTCCAGTTGGAGCAGGCATAGGAAAGCAAGTCCCTCGCCTCAGCTGTCACGACTACCACAATAATCAAAAGCATTGGCACCAAATCGTAGTATAAGTTTCCATACCAATATGAGTCACCATATCCATGGTATAAGTTATTAACACAACGGATGGAACAGACAAACTGAGGAATGTTTTGCAGTAAGTTATTGGATTGGATCCACACTGCAAGCAAGATGCAGTAACCTATGCTCAAGAATGAGATAAATATGCCAACTATGGGAAGCCAATAACTTGAATAAGAGATTGGGAGGGATGAGTAATAGTAATCATGAACAAAAGAAAGCTCATCTGCAAGTACGCGGAATACACTGTCACTGTCAAACTCGCCGTCCTTCAACAAGAAGCTCCAGAAAAAATCGATGGTGTCCCCGGAGCCAATATTATGGTGCTCATACCTTGCAAATCGACAACGCAGCAACTTGAACAATGCAAAAGACAAGCATAAGTCTTTCAGTCTTTGAGGTATTGGAACCAGAAGTTTGCCATCCGACTGCCAAACTCTATCAATAGTCACCAAGCCAATGCTTTGCTGCAACACTGGGTTCTTGAACATATACCCATGAGGATGCTTGTCCATGCGTCTTTTCTCTTCTCCCATAACCAATAGTGGGGGAGGTGCATGTGCATCCTCGCTTACCGTTGGTTCTTCACTATGGTGTTGGCTTTGTTTATTATGTGATAGTTGTTGCATGTACCGAAAAATAAGACGAGGATTTTTCCCAAGTGCAAAAGATTTCCGTGCCTTTTCAAATGCATAATATTTGAATAATATTTTGGCAGAAATGAGAACAAAAGGTATTACTTCAAGGGAAATAAGTTCAGCCTGTCTGCCTGCATTATTGACGAGGTAGATGATACCAAGGTAAAGGATCCAGACCCCCTGAGCAATCAGTTGCAAAGGAGGACCTACGTTTCGACCTTCTCGATCATCAACAGAGACTACTATGCTGGTATTGATCATGACAATATGAACAAGAAATGCCCATATTATAACCAGGAACGAGTGCCACTCTGGAGTGCAAGTTGCGAACCAGGACGCTGCTGTGTTCAAGTCCGTGAAGGTGTTTTCTCCAGCACTGAGGGAGACGAGCGAGGAAATGACAGGTAGGAACAAAGTGGTGGCTCCAAGGAAGATGAAACGAGTGAAGGGATGGTGGCGGTAGCGCTGTCCATAGGCACCTATCCCGACTATGACTCCCGCCATGATAGTGCTGGCGAGCAGCAGGGCGTTGACCCGCCATATGTTCCGTTCCATGAAGTTGGGCACCACCACACCGTCGCAGGTAACCATGATCAGCTGGAAAGAGTAACGCGTCAATGGCTCTTCTGATTGCCAAATAAATTTCAAGGTCCAAACATCAAGTTGTTAGTACATGAACTAATCACTCTGTAAATTAAAAACTCTGATCTGTGGTGGTCGGACAGCCCCCGGTATTCCGGCTTAAGAAGATCTTCTCACGCTCGGCAACTGCTTTGCCGAGTGTAACACTCGGCATACAACACACGACATCTTTTTATCGGCAAACAGCTATTTACCGAGTGCTTTTTGTCGGGCACCTTTGCCGAGTGCCGGAAAAGCACTCGGCAAAGATTTACACTCAGCAAAATGAAAATACGAAAAAACCCAAAAATAATAGCAAAATTTTCAAAAAAAAATTCGGGGGAGTCCGCCACCAGCCAGCGCCCGCCCGTCTTCATCGAAGTCGGTGCATTTTTTGCGCTAAATTCGCGGCGAACGCGGCCGACGGGATTCGAACTCACAACCTCTCCCTCGCGTGTCTGCTGCTCTACCACTGCACTACACTGTCACTTGTGTCTAGATTCCGTTATCTATCCTCATATATTATACTAAACCGAGAGTAAATTGCTTGTTTGGAGCCCTAAACGAATTCAAATAAAAAAGTGGTCAACTAGAAAGTTTCATAACTTTTCTAGATCTACAATTTTCATTTAGGAAGTTTTAGCATCCGAGGTCGTTTGAAAAATTCGAATTTTAAATTTGAGAGATTCAAACGTAGTTTTGCATGATAAGATGATTTTAAATCAAAAAGTTGTCAACTACATAGGTTCATAACTTTTGGATATCTACAATTTTCATTTATGAAGTTTTTTCATCCGAGGTCTTTTGAAAAATTCAAATTTTAAAATTTTCAAATTCAAACGTTGTTTTTGTATGACAAGATGATTTCAAATCAAAATGTTGCCAACTACAAAATTTCATAACTTCTCAAGATCTACAAAGTTTATTTTGGTCATTTATTCATCCGACATAGTGGTAGTAACATTGCTCACAAATCTTATATATCTCTCTTCTACTTTCATGAAACTAATATGAGAGATGTAGATTTTATGAACAACGTTATTGTCGCTTTGTCAAATGAAGAAATGACCAACATAAACTTTGTAGATCTTGAGAAGTTATACAACTTTGTAGTTGAAAAGTTTTTCATTTGAATTCATTTAGGGCCTCAAAAATTGCTTTGAAAAACTGATTTGCCGAGGGAAAAAAAATACACACGGCTAAATGCCTCTTTGCCGAGTGCCAAAACAAAAGCACTCGGCAAAATACATCTTTGCCGAGTGCCAGAAAAAGGGCACTTGGCAAAGACGCATTTTGTCGTGTGCCGAAAAATAGCACTCGACAAAATACATCTTTGTCGAGTGCCAGAAAAAGGCACTCGGCAAAGACGCATTTTGTCGAGTGTTTTTTTTTTTTGCCGAGTGTATTTTATTTGGCACTCGGTAAAGACCGTCTTTGCCAAATGCCCGATAAAATACACTCGACAAAGTCTCCGACACTCGGCAAAGTGCTATTTTCCGGTAGTGTCGAGAGAACCTCCGAACCTCTACCCCCACATACACACTCTGTAAATTGTAATGGAAATCAAGTACCTGAGGGTGCGAATCGATCGAGCTCACAGCAAAGCCTGAAATCTGAAGCAGACCAGCTCCAGGAGTATTGGAATGGTTCCTTCAGCGTGCGATCTGCAGAGGAGCAGTAATAAGGAGATTGGTAAGCACTAGCAGTGCGTTGCCATAAGCCAATAACCCACTCATATATTAGCCTCGCAAGCAATGCTTTTTTTCGGGTAAAAGAGAGCTTAGCGAGCACAAGAGTTATTACAGTCATTGTCGTTGATTAATTAGGCCTAAGATACACGTAGCATCACAAGAGTTATTAGCTTGGACTAACCATACTGCAGTGTGGAGGTTCTTCCCAGTTCCCATTTCTACGATGCCGTTCTAGTCTCCACCATGTTGACATCGTCGTAGCTTCACTCCCGTTCCTGAAAAGATCTTACGTTACCCTCGTTCTTTGGTTGTGGCGTTTTGCTCTCCTTCTCATCAACGGAAAACCACACAAACCGAAGAACTGGACTCAGAGAAAAAATGAGTTTCGAAGTAGTTTCGGGTGACAAGATTAATTATTCGTGGTGGACTGGTGCAGTGGCGGAGCCAAGATGAGCACGCCCCCCGTGAGAGTGATTTTGCTTTGTATTTACTGTAGAAAAAACGTGATTTCACCATTAATCTTCGACATTTGTTCTAAACATTTAGAACAAATGTCGAAGATTAATGGTGAAATCACGTTTTTTCTACAGTAAATACAAAGCAAAATCACTCTCACGGGTAAAGACTACTTCAATGAGAAGTTTTCAAGCTGAAAGCCCCGTTGTACGTTGACATGTTGACATTTGCAATTCATGATAATAGTGACAACTGACAAAAACACCACCAAGTGAAAACTCTCAAGTCAACTTCTAAGAAATGAGGACCTAGGGTTTGGAGAATTTGACACTCCCCAGCGGAAGCGACGGCGTCATCTCCTGCGAAAGCGGCCTGGGCTCAGTGGGCTCAGTCATGCAGTCAGCAACGGAGCTCGCGGGATTGATAGAGAGAGGGAGGATGAAGGACGCTGGGATATAGACCGGCGGCAGCGAGACGACCGATGTGGCATGGGAGACACGAGCCCGAGGGAGAGGACGGATCATTGTCATCGTGCTTGTTTTTTTTTTTGGCATTGCTAGCGCTCGAACGTCCGGATGGACGCGCATGCCTGGACGTCCGTGCATGTGTTCGTCCAAACGGACGCGCGCGGCTGCGGTGTGTTTTACCGCGTCCACGCATGGGCCGTGCTGGCCGGACGTTGCTCGCCCACGCCTGCGTCTCGCTGCCACGCAGGGGGCCTCACTGCCGAACGTCACCCACGGCGACCGCTCGCGTCCCCTCCAGCTTCCCACGCGTACCCCATGTGCAACACCTGATCTTATTTTAAAACATTCAGATGTAACAATTGCAACGTACAAAAAAGACAGATGAAACACTTGAAAGAAGCTTTTGAAATACTTGCAAAAACACTTGAAAACCATTACAAACATACATGATGTTGAGTTGGATAGCTCTAAGGATCTTGAATTGTGCCCAAACCCAATACGTGTTGAATCGGATAGCTCTGAGGATGATGTTCGTTATTGCCAATTCAAAGGAAATCAAAGCCAGGGCTATAGAAATGGTTAGAAAAATATGCCCCATGTCCACGTTATATATGTTCCCCATGCTTGTTATCTTCCACATTACAGATCTACCCCTTACATGTTGTGCCATGAATAATAAAATTATTGCAAAAGACTTTCTTTAATATTCATAGCAACCCTAGAAAAAAGGACAGTTTTAGTATTTATTGTTCTTAGGAAAAAATGACATTTGAAACGGACCAAATTTAAGGTAAATAGTAATTCCATGACATTCTCATCATCCGTGTGAGTCCATGTGACATGTATGAATGTAAAGACTAGAAGTCGTATAGAAAGTCTAAAGAACTTGCGTACATTTGTAGATATGGGTTCTACATGAAAGCTGTGGATATATGTTGTTAGAACTAGTGTTCCAAATAGACAAGGAGGAAGAGTGGAGAGTAGAGGCGGCTAGGGTTTACAAATGAGAGTGGGAGGGAGGGAGAGTCCCTTGCCCTCATGCGCTTGGCACTATATATAGGCAACAACAACTTACACGCGGACCATTGTTGGGGGAGGATTTCATAAGCTACTACACTAACTCCTGTTGGGCCTCTTCTAGGGGGAGACTTGGCCCATATCTCATATGGGCTCCCCCAACAGTAGCCCCTTCATCATCCACTTCATCGGCTGCAAGACCTGCGACAGGTACGAGGACTACCCACAAGACCGCTGTATCCGGGGCATCAAACGTGCCTTTGACTTCGCCGACAACCAGGTGCTCAGCCTCTATGGATTCCAACACCGCCCGCTCACCACCGCCAAACAGGCCCTACGGATTCCTGTACTTTCTTCCTTTTCTTTGTTTTTCGTTCCTTTGTTACAAACAGGCCCCAAGGGCCACTTCGTTGGCTGCAAGACCTGCGGCAGGTACGAGGACTACCCACTGGACCACTGCATCATGGGAATGGAACGCACCTTCAACTTCGCCGACAACCAGGTGCTCAGGCTCTACAGATTCCAACACCGCCCGCTCACCACCGCCAAACAAGCCCTACGGATTCCTGCACTTTCTTCCTTTCCTCCGTTTTTCGTTCTTTTGTTACCTTTTGTTACAAACAGGCCCTAAGGGCTTATTTGGTTGGAAGCCTGAGTGAGTTGCCTGGCAAAAAATGTTGCCTGAAAAGTTGATGTTTTTTTGCCTGGCCATGCATGTTTGAAAATGTGTGTTTGGATGGATACCTGTGCCTGAGAATTTTAATCAAAGAAAAAGCACTATTATCTTTATTTGATGTTCCAATTTTAGCTCATAGTACATAGTAGTAATTGTTTAGATTAATATTATTTTTTGGTTCACGTTCCAAAGAAAATAGCTCTAAAAACACTAAGAAAGAAAATATAGTAGCATTGCATAATATTTCTATATCCAATATTTATATGTATTTTTAAATTGCATAGTACTCCTGTCCATGGAAAAATAAATGAAGGAAAACTGAATTTACTATTGTAAGTATTGTTTTGTGGACTTATTTAAGTGACCAGAAAAAAAGAGGTAGGGAGTTCCCCTGCCGTTTTGGTAAAAAAAAACCTTAATTGACCATTAGCAATAAAAATAGTTTAATATGCGATTAGTCTAGGCAAATCCAGTTGCTTGAGCGAGGCTATCGTTTTCCAACGTCTGGGTGCTCGTGCCCATGCCTACACCAGAGAGGTCTGCAGGGCTTCATCCAAATGATGCACAGGCGGGGTC